TTGTATTTGATGGTGTACATGTGCCACCTCGCATTCAGAGGAGCATGTTTTTACTGTATAGACATTAGCCAAGAATTTAATAGTGATTTTTAGTAGTAAGAGTAGGTGAGGTAGAATCTCAGGTGTAAGTGGCACATCATGACGGAGTTGATCCCAGTTTCCATAGCTTAAAGTGACTAGAAAAATTTCTCTCCCCCTCCGTGGGCAGACAGGGTAATTAGTTGGTGTCTACCTGCCATTTTTGACATTATTTCAAGGGTCACTTGATGAAGGCATTAGGCAGCAGTAAGAAGTCTGTGCCCACTTCCTCAATACTTTTCTTCAGTTTTCTGTGGCTAGGAGACTATTTAGACGATGTACTGTTCCATACAATAATTGTATGGAACAGTACATCATAATAACTTGAAACAGAGTTTTCAAGCACAGTTTTTGTAGTAGAAACCAGTAGCACTGACTAACTCATCATAAGTCACAAATAAACAACCACATTTCTATATTTACTTATGAAGTAACAAAATGTTTAGAGAGATAAGATCATCAATTAGTTTATCTAGTACTTCCTTTGAAACACCACTTGTAAATGGTTTGTTGAATAAGTTGCCATTGCTACATTGCTACTCACTGACTAGTGCATACATTGGCCAATCAGATTGCAGAATTTGAGACAATGAGCTTTTGTTTCTACTGAAGTGAAGCACTCCTTGCAACCACTCTTGTAACTGACCAGCTCTAGTTACAACCACCATTGTGAAGCCCTGTTTGAAAAGCTAGCTCTTGTAAGTGACCAGAAGTGACTGCAACCACTTTTGGGCCATAACCCAACTGGACTTTTCCTTTGTTTTTAGGCTCTCGTAAGCTACCACTCAGAGTTTTATTTATATAAATGAACATTAATAAATGAAACTGCACTCTGTGCTAATGGTTCTTGTACAGTACAGTATTGTATTATTTTGTCAAAGTGCAAGGTCATTTCCTTAGTGATCACTTAGACATAAAGTTTAGCCGTGACTATATCAGATGTAAAGATACTAATTAAACATTGATTTCTTTATTTTTTTTATGAATTATTAATGAGTTTTTGAAGCTCTCGTATAAGCAACCACCCTCTATTGTTTTAACATGCAGTCGCTTACGATCTGATAAGCAAGCAGCTCTATATATAGTCACAACCACTTTTTCAAATTTCCAAGGTGGTCACTTTCGAGAGCTTCTACTGTAGTCAGTAAAAATAGCTATCTAGAATAATTAAGTTTACTTAGTTCAGATGTTCTATTCTGAGTGCAATCTTTATTGTAATAAGTGTTAGTTTTGTGGTAATATTGCTTATCCTGTGGCAGGTGGTTTTTTTTTGTGAAAAAATATATTTATTTTGTTTTACAATGCCCAAAATGGGATTACCATTCTTTCCTTTTTAGTCCTATTTTTTTCCCAAAACCAAAACAAACAGAATCAAAGATGGTGTGATATGCCTATCGATCATGAGCAACCACAATACAAGGTTTTAGAGGTCTTGTAACTATGTCAAACTTCAAGTGTGGAGAAATAAAAGAGAACATTGATTTGGTGTATATTAAACAATGTTGTCACAAGTTTAGTAGTTTGATGTTTGAACAGGGCCTTTGATCGGCTCTGAGCTTTCAGAATCCTTTTTCTTGAAATATAAAGGACTGGTTTTTCTTCTTGAAAAAAGAAATTTTTTCTTAAAAGCAGAAGTTTAACTTAAGAGAATTAAATTGTTAAATAGTTTTTGAATTTAAGAAAATACCTGCTCATAATAAGAATTATTTTTCTTAAATTAAGATTTAGAATGCTTTTACTTAAAATAAGGCCTGTTTCTTATTTTAATAATTTTCCCTTGAAATAAGATTTTTTTTCTTAAAACAAGAAATTTCATTTCAGAAAATAAAACTCTTAATCTGTAGTTTAATTTGAGAAATTTTGTTCTTAAAGTAAGATTTTCAGGTTTTAGAGTGATAGCTTAAAAATAAAATCGATCATCCAGCATCACATTGAAAATTGACGATCGCGACTCACTAATTACGGTATATGACTTCAAAACAGTTTTGAAACAAAGAATTTACGTCAATTTAAGTAAATCCCTCGTAAAGTATGAAAATAACGGCTACAAACCTTAAAAAACACAAAGCACATGCCACAAACTACATCTCCTTCCACGCGCCATCTTTGAAATTTTCGTATGCTTGTTCCCAGTAGCCGAAATAAACGCGCGGCCACCAAATGTTGCGTTAGATTAGGAGCGGACTTGGTCAGGTTTTAAATGTCTACTTTTTCTTCTTTTTCTTCTAATTTTGTCAATTTTATGTGGTAAGAATGGCTTAAATTGACAATTTTCAATCAGAACCATAGCCATTTCCCCCTTTATTTTCTAAGAAAAAAACTGCATTGTCATTTAATTCGCTCAGCTCCCGTCTCCCCAAAGTATTTGGGTAAGGTAGCACCGAAGGTACGGGGATATCCCAAGCACTTTATGTAAAGCAGTGTAAAGGCGCCAGAAAGCGCCTTAACCACGCGCATAAAGGAAAGATGTTGGAGGAGAGTGGTGGCCAAAAAGGGAGAGAAGGAGATTCCTTTCTCCCCATTCCCCTTTCCTAACCCCCCCCCCCCCCCCACCACACAGACTAACAGCGCCACAGATCCTAACCTGTAGCGCTATCCAGAGGGTGGGGGTAAAAAGATCACATCATGCACCCTGCGGAGGAATTTTAAAACAGGCTGCAATTCATGGTCTATTCCGAAATGTCTCAAATGCCTTCTATGTCCTTAAACCAGTGGATATTATTTCTAGTTGATATCTGTTTGAATTGGAGCAAGGTAGCACCTCGCAAGAATAGTCAGAAGTATCTAACGGAAACTGTTGCAAAAAATCACCAAGACAGAGACAATGTCAAAAAATAATGTGAAGTGACGTTTATTTCAAAACAAACTTGCAAAGCGGTGCTTACGTTACAAACATAACTAAACTGATATAATTTAAGATTTGCTCAGTTTAATACGTTGTTACCTTTGCCTGACTGGGGCTCGATAACTTATAGCTGAGTGATTGACGAACGTTGCTGAGTCTGGATATTTCAGAACCCAGCATCTTATCACTTGTTAAAATAGACTGATAATATACCGTAAAATTCCGAAAATAAGCCCCTCCAAAAATAAGCCCCCCAAACTGGTAACGCAAAAAACTCTCCATTAAATCGCCCCTCCAAATATACGCCCCCCAGGGGCTTGTACTTGGAAAATTGCCCTCAAATACAAAGTAAAACAAAGCAAAAACGGTAAATTTACTTCCAACTGTAAGGCTAGCCCAATCGATTTTGAAACGCAAATTTCCCTCCGTAGATAAGCCCCTCCAAAAATAAGCCCCTCAAAAAGGGCCTTTGAAAAATATAAGCCCCGGGGCTTATTTTCGGAATTTTACGGTATGTAAGCATTTTTTGCTATAGTACCAGTTGTCCAAATTAAAAAACGGGTTTCATTCAGTCCTCAGCGCATTGCAATAATGGCAAAGGAAATCGTGGTTTCTCTTAACCTTAGCTAAAACTAGGTAGTGATGCAAATATCATACGAGCCAAATAAGACAAATTAAGACAAAAAAGACGAAAAAATCCTACGAGAGAGACCCAAATATAGGATCCTGCAAATCTACTGATTATCAGCTAAAACACTATTTAAAGCTTAGTTCATTTAATATCACACTTAACACGAGTAAGAAAATAAATTGTACACTTGTTGTGTTTCTAAGCAATAAACATTTCTGGTGTATTTACATTTTACATTTGCACATATATTTTCCAGTTTAAGGTGAAATCTCCATATCACGGAGACCCCACAAATTTTAACAGCCAGCGGATATGAGCCTATACAGCGTTTCTTATACCAAAGGCGTCAGTCTTTTGAGAATTGTTCTTGGGCAGATTCATTCTTGGTGTATCCAAAGCCTGTAGGCTTCTAGGTCATCTTGGGTGTGCCATGATTAAATTGGGCGGAGTTCAATAAGGGCGAAAATCGCTCACCTAAACCGAATGCTTCGAAAAAATTTCAAGGCCTGATCTCATTTCTTTTGTACCCTTCTCTCTGCTGACAGTTTCAGCAAGGCCGAGAATAGCACTTTTATAGCTATAGATGGAATTGAGGCTGAAGTTGACCTTGTTTTGATGCAGCATCCCCAGCTTTCTTATGTGCATCGTGTTCTTCTTTTGCTAACTAGTATTTTTCAAGCATAATATCTACGAGAAAACAGTGGAGGTTTGTACCAAAACGAGGTCAACCTCAGCCTCACATTCATACAAAGGCCAGGGTACTAAGCCCACATCTGTCAACAGATCTATCGCTTAAACGTTGGATAGCGCCATCCACCGAATAAATATCTATGTCCTCTATCCAGAGGATAAGTATAAGGGAAGCCAATTGCTCTATCCAAAGGAATAGAGATTCATCCAGTGGATAGCGATATCCCCCTTTTGAACAACTGGGGCCAGTTCAATAAGTTCAGTCCGCACTAACGAATAAGGCGATACTGTCTAGTCACACACTAGAGATTTCACTCGACAACATCCCTTTATAAGCTATCTTAAAATTCTCTTTTGGTAGACGCTGGAGAAGAAATTTATGACTGTAATGACAAAACACTTTTGAACGGTGGTTGTAATGGAAACAGCGCTCGCTATTTTCGATGGTATTAGTGTGAACGCGAGAACAAAGCGCATTCAGTTTCAAACGAAAAGGAAACACATTAGTGTGGACGCCGAGTCTTAAAGAAACCCCATAGCGTCCATTAGTGACTTTGGTGCCTGACAATTCCTATAGAAAAAAGCTACAATTTGAAGCAATAATAAATATCATAGAATTCATGTGACTAAAATATTTTAAGCTCAGGAATACCTAAAATGCCGCATAACTAGTTAAGATTGCAAAGCCTCCTGCCATTTCCCTAATTAAAGTATCTTTTCCGACGAGCCCCAATTTATCTTGTAAGGTAGTAGTTTTTAAAATGCCGTATCTGTGTTTGTGCTGGGAGATTCCACGGGCACGATCACAGTGGGATTGTCTATTCCTTTTTCCTTGGGGTTTGAAGAGCCATTCTGAAGGTGAGCCAAATTAAGCTGAGAAGTGGACTTGTGTACGAACGGAATTGTCTTTAATGGGACTGGCTTCTCGGTCCATCCATCTCCGTAACTTTCCAATGGGTATGCGGGCTCACCGTGCTTGGGAATATCGAGACCTGAGGCAATCATTGCATCATTTTAGTTTCAAGTACTGTGATTTAGCAACGCGGGTTTTAGTAAACAGTGCAAAAACAAGAAAATAAGACAAATATCTCAGAGGATGGAGCACTGTGAGGGGTTGACAAACAAAAGAAATGCATAAGAACCAATCGGGTGCGCAATCTTTTTTTGGCCGTTTGAGCTAGGTTGCGAATGATACTAATCCGTGTTGTTTTGATCGAATTATACTGTAGCATTGTTTAGGGAACGAATTTTGATCCAGTAAATTCTTTCACGTTTATCACTAAAGAGTAAGATACTATTTTTCTCATTAAAATTGGGAATTTATTTGCCCTCATGTGTTTTTCAAAAAGCTCAAATGTTGATACTGTACTTTTTGAATAACACACTCTCTTGCAAATAGATGTTAAATTGAACCCGAAGTCGCATGACTACTTATACTAATAGCCTCCTCTCTTTATCTTCATGTAAAATTTCTTTGACCAGGATTATAACTTACCTTTCAATTCAATGTCTTTGTCAACACGGAGTACCCCAATAAGATTCATTGCGAGAAACAGGATAAAAGCCAAAGAACCTGACCAGATCATGATGACAATCACACCCAACAGGTTCCAGCCAAATCCACGGAATGACAGCAAGCCACCATCGTACAGGATTCCGGAATCCTTGTTAAAGATGGGCGCAGACAAAACTCCCCAGATTCCACCACCGAGATGAACTGTGCAAAAACGAAAGAAAGAGAAGGCGATTACGAAATATTTTACTATAAATATCTCTTTCACTGATTCAGTTTGATGAGATTCTGCTAAAAATTGGGCTGTGAAGAGTATTCGAAAAGTGGCCCTTGCAATGACAAGACTAACCTATAGCAGCAGGAGCCGAAGCAGCTGAGTGTATGCAGTGTTCTGATAAAGTGACAGGTATTTTCATAGGTACACGGAAAACGGAAATGTAAGTGCATGCACGTATAGGGAGGTATAAACTCAGTAACTGTTCGAATAAAGGCAACAACATTTGGACATGCACATCACCATGTGAACATCGTGCGGCTCCGATTTGCTGTGCACCTCTCGTAAAGGAAGGTGGTCAGGAGATAACCAGAAGCCATTTTCAAAATAAGCAGAATTAGTTCCATGGCACTGTTTCAGGTCTTAAGGATACTGTAAATCCGAACTGAGTCGTGGTTAATGGTTCATGACCTACTGATGCCCCGCTGTACGGGGCCTGTAACAAACTATTTGGCCCTGGGGAGCCGGGAAATTAGCGGTGATTTAACACGCGGCAATCTTAAATTCCCCGCCAAGTCGCAGGGGTCGGGGGAGTTTGAACTGACTGATGCATTATGCAGATAGACCGAGGCGTATAACATCCATCGGGATCTGCTTAATTCTTCATATCATACCAAAACCGAATCCAATATCTACTCATCATCTTTGCTGTTTTTCTTACCTGCTACAGCGTCTAGTGGATCATCGATCTTTAGCTTGACGACAAGTGTACTCCATGCAACATAGGCGATTCCGGCGATAATACCAATGACAAAAGCAGCGTAGGGATGAACAACGTTGCAACCTGCGCACAAAGCAACCTACAAAATAACGATCGAATCGAGAGTGGCTTCATTAAAAAGATGTCGTGTTTGTTTGTTTGTTTGTTTTTTTTGCAGTGAGCTTTGCTGCCATAATTAGCTTAAGCCACCTCAGTCTCCACCAATCAAGGCAAAAGCCAGCCTAGTCCCTAGGCGTTCTCTCTTGCCCCGTTGTCCGCGTGCATCTCTCGGTGACGTCACAGCTCAGGTAGAGTCCAAGATTGACCCAGCCGAGAACGCCTAGGGACTAGGCTGGGCAAAAGCAAGACCTCACTCTAACGTGTTTTTATCGTTTTTTTGTACTAGCTACCCGAACATTTGCATGGCGACAACTGAGTGGAGACAGCACTCAAGTGAAGCTAACAAAGTATGCAGCAAATCATACCAGTTTCATTGAAAGGTTTTTTAGAGAGGTAATTCGGCTCTGTTCACTATACAAACAGCTACAAACAAAAAGATAATAAGCTCATTCTCTTTTGTAAAGACTAACTACGGCTATAATACAATACCAACTCGAAATAAATGCGCGAGGACGACTCGTACGCAGCGCGAGAAAACGCACGTGCGTTCAACGCGCGCACTGAAGTCACGACTAGTTTTGCCGGGATGATCTTATTCATGGCGCGAAATATGTCAACCAATCACAAAAAACAGCAATCCAAACTGAAACCTGCCAAAAAAGCTGATTCTGATTCTCTTTCTCACCATTCCAGTCAGTCCTCCATTGATTGTAAACAACAAACTCCAGTACTTTTCTGCATATCCCAAACGCTTGATAATCATGGCAGTGATGGCACCAGCGGCTCCTAAAATGCAATAAAAAGGAATCATTCTTCAACCTCATCAATTATCCAAATACACAAAGTTTGGATTATTTTTCTAAGTTGATTAAGTCATTGGCTTCCCGCATAAAGAGACTGTGAATGCACTTATCATGTTAACGATAGACATTGGTGATTTATTTACGCAATGAAAATGGAAAAAAAGAATAAATGTAGACAGTAACTGCAGCTGGATTTAAGAGGATTGTTGTACAGAAGGTAACGATTTCCACAATGAACGAAAGATCATCCTATGTAAGAGAATCCAGAATCCTGAATCCGAAAAACCTTTGCTTGTGGAATCCTGAATCCGGAAAATGTTTGCTTGTGGAATCCGGAATCATGGGCTTTGGAATTCGGAATTCCACTAACGACTGGAATCCTGAATCCAAGAACCATTGACAAAGAATTCAGAATTCAGTACCTGGACTCCGGAATCCACAATGTGTAATCCAGAATGCAAGTCTGTCTTGGATTCCCTTACATGGGATTAAAAAGAGGAATTAAAGCCTAGGATTAGTCAAAAACTGTGATGTTTATATATGGGCATCCTGTTCGCTAACATTGCCATGCCTTTACACTAGGTTCGGAAGGAAGATGAGGAGTAATGCGTTAAAGGCGCTTAACTCGCGGGACGCATTCGACACGCTTTCGATTAAAAACCGATCCGACCAATAAAGGCCGAGATCTGTTTCATAATTGACCTGTTATCACCTGCGCTTGGAAAAACAAACTGGACGCATAGTGTCTAGAAGGGATTTCTGAGGATAGGGATGCAAAGCGCTAGCTTCGGCGGCGATCAATCGTTATTGCAATTTTAAGAGAATACCATGCTTAAGAGCAATGAGAAGGGGATGTCGATAACACATTTTGGCGAAAACAGTAAGAGTTACGGTCTTTTCCCCGAGTTCATTATTGATTGTTAAGGATGCTTATTCAGGCTTACCTTAAGTATCGTACTGTGAAACAAAGAGAGTGGCTGCCATAACAGACATACAACGCTCACGAGTCAAGATTTCCGCAATTTTAAGAGAAACTAAGTTGGAGGATGTGGGGTGCCTCTTAGTTTTACAAATTGAAAGCGGTTTCTCACTAATATTTTTTTTTATTTCTAAAGTAATCAGAGGCTTTACAATAGAGGAGGCTGCAAATTGAGGTGTCTTGTATTCTTTTCTGTACCTTAGAGTGGAGAGAGAAGGGCGCTTACCACCAATTTTGAGGTTACGTATACGACTGGGATGGGTGTTGTGTCAAACTGCACCTTAGCACTGTTTTGTGGAGGCTATAACTTCTCTTATTGGCTATTACAAGGTTGCGCGGGAACCTGGGTCAAAATTCATCTCCCAAAACAGTCCCACAGTGCAATTCAACACAAACCGACCCAGTACTCATGCGCGGCCTCAAGATGGCCAATAAAAACGTGGTCCTAAATGAGCATGCGCAAAAAAAAAGTATTGAACTGAAAGCTCACCTCCGATAACGGTATTAACAATGGCCAGTGCGACGATGTCAGCATCTCCTGCGCTAGCGATGGCTGCTTGGGAACCGCCATTGAATGCCAAGAAACCAAAGAACAAAATGAATCCACCCAAGGCAGCTTGCTGTAACCAAGGAAACAAAACAATAATGACTAATTCCTCCACGTCAGGAGCCCATTGGGTTATGGGCTCCGCTCCAGTTGTGATATGAGTATTTTCTTCCAAAACTGAAGTGTGATTATGCTAAATCTTATTTTTAAAACTAGTAAAGCAACAAAACGAGAAACGTAACGACTACAATGCGTACATGTTCTTTATCTTTGATTCAGGCAAAAGCAGAGTTTAACTCCTTATCCTTGATTTAAATTGTACTCAGAATCTGCACTTCCCTATCTTTGTTGTCAGTGTGCTGTGTTAGAAGTGATTTTAGGTTTCAGCCTATTGATGGAATCTTAAGTATTGCCATGTTTGCCAGCTTTAAAACTTCAGCTGTACAGACTCATTCATAGAGAACTCCATTCGTAAGTTTTATGGGTCATCATTCGCTATGAGTGGCTCCTCAGACAAAACGTCATCTGTTTCCTTGAAATACAACTATGTCCCTAAGGCTTTTCCGTCAGAAAATGGACGGGCGCTTATTTTAAGAGGAAAGGAACTGGGACTAGTATCGACTTACCGGTACGGTATGGCCAGACAACAGCTGAGGTTCTCCGTTAACAAATCGACCAATTCTTGGACCAACAATAGCTGCACCTACCAAGGCAACCGTCCCACCGACTGCATGAACAACGCCACTTCCAGCAAAGTCCTATAGAGACGCAAAAGAGATGTTCTCAACTGCAATAAACGAAGCGGATCGGGAGGAGTTGGGGAGGGGGGGGAGAGGACCTTGCAAAGAGAGAGTGGGTAAGGGTGGCGCAGTGTCGACAGCACTAGAACAAGTCTACCACGGATATGCCCCCGGAAGATGTCGCCCCAAAGACGGCTTAGCTCCTACAGGAAGGTATTGGATCGGGGTTGGAGGATCTTGCAAGGTGACAGGGGATAAAGTTGGCGCAGTGCCCACAGCACTTGTACAAGTCTCTCATCAACGGGGCACCGGGGAAAGTCGCCCTAAAGACGGCTTAGCTTTTACAGGATCTGGCAAAGTACACAGGACAGACTCCCAGGACCCATGGACCAACCCCTCAATCGGTCACTTAAAGTCACTACGGCTACAACTGTGTTTTGTAGAAGTTTTTTCTGTCATCATTGTTGACGTCTTGCAAAGTCTATGTTTTATGTAAGTAGTGTCAGTTCTGCTGCTTATAGATCTTAGGACGTGCGCATTCGGCATTTTCGATTGCTGCCCTTAACCTGCATTGCAATATATTATCCCGAAAAATAAGCTGTCAAATATAGGATAGCGTGGGGGAGGAATCAAGAAAGTTCGGTAAAACAAGGTGTGAGGGGGAAGATTACAGGGAGAGGAAAAGCATTCCCGAGTCTTGTCTCCTCCGAAATTTTCTCTCTCGCTCCAATAGCGTTTTTAATTTCGTGTTTTTCCCAACCAGAGGACACATACACCGGATTAGTTTCTGCGCAGCCGTTTGGTCAGGAATCAGCCTTCTTCCTCAACAGTAGAGTCCAAATTCGTTTTATGTGAATTTCGTTAGGTAACATCGACTTTATATGCTCATTGTTGAACTGATTAATTAGGCATTGATAAGCCGGGGAGAAATTTGTAACCGATCATTGAAGTGCTATGAAAGGCTTACCTGGTAAGTGATGGCTCCTCCGTCATCGTATGTCACGCCTTTGTACAGCCAGCCGTTACCATCCCAGGCCCAGTGAGCGACTATCGGGTACAGGAAACCTTCAAAAATAAAAATTGAGTTGGCGTACATTTCTTTTCCTTTTACGTGAGCCTGGTTTAAGAAGTGCAGTTCCGGGGGAGAGGGGGTGGTTACAAATTAAAGAAAGCGGGATTTAATTAGAAATAAGGCAATTTTTTCTTATTCACTCACTGTTGTATTTGATGCGACGTGAAAGAAATGTTTGCAAACATGATAATTCATTGAAATATTTGTTCAGCACCTAGATCGAACACGCTATTGTAAAGCCGGGTTTTCTCAAAGCTGCAAATGGATGATCATGTTCTCTGCTTAGTTGGAGACTAACCCTGTGAATGGGTCTTTAATTTGTCTTCATTTGCATTCAACGGTCTTGACTTCAAACCCCTTACTAACAATCACATGCTTGACTTTTCTTACAATTTGGCCCGGAACGTTTCAAGACATCCCTACGCGAAACTAAAACTAATGTTTTCCTCTTGTTATGCTCTTCGTAATACACCGACCAGTGCACGTTTATCTTTAAGCTATGTATTGGTTCGTACGTGTAGTAACATGACTATAACTGACCAGTCAGAAATACAGAGTACACGAGGTAAGCCTTGAACTCAGTTCTCTCAGCCATAGCACCGCTGACAATAGTTGCCGCTGTAGCCGCAAACACAAAATGGAAAAACCAATGAAAGAACGTCCTAGATGGTAAGTAAGCCAGAGCAAAATATTCGTGACCGATGAAACCATTGCCATCTGCTCCAAAGGCAAACGCGTAGCCGAACAGCCAGTAAACGATGGCACCCAAGACTGTAAAAATGAAAAAGAACTTGTTTAAGAAACATTCATCACTTTCATTTACGAACGTTTTCCTTGACACTCATCTGAAAGAATTTATCATAGGGCTGTGTAAAAATAATAATAATAATAATAATAATAACAACAACAACAACACTAACAATAATCCCCGTTGTATTATGATCTAAATAGGCCATTTCCGAGTTCCAGAAATCTCACTTTCAAAGCGAGGCCAAGTGCAAAACTTTTCTTGTGAAAAGGGGTTTCATTGGTTAGGAAAAAAAGACATACCGGTAATTTTCATATCAGAGGTTTTGCACTTAGCCTCGTTTTGAAACAAAGGGTTGCATGGGCAACTCGGGAGTAGCTTATTTAGTTACTCTTGTAGTGACTGTGGTGGCATATCAGACTTTTTAAATCTAATATGACTTTTTTTAAAAAAGGTAGCTGCTTTTTTTCTGTTCAAAAATCACCACTGACAAATAAACTACTTACAGACATCCAAGACGTTCTTGATGAGGATGTTTGTTGTGTTTTTTGATCTCACTGAGCCGGCCTCGAGGAAAGCAAACCCCGCCTGCATAACTGCAAGATGAAGATGACTGTTAATTTGATTTTCCCTTAGCCGATAGTTAAAGGCATTTTGTTAGTGAGCGCGAGCCACTGCCTAGTTTGTTATACTTGTCAGTTACTAAGTGGAAAAAGGGTTTATCCCCCCTATTTATAGATATTTTGCTATGTTCCATTTCCATCGGGTCCTCAACCATGCGGGAAAGCATCTAGCAACCCCTGGGGGCTACTTGAGTCAATTTTTGCTGGGCATCTGCCGCTGGCCTCTCAGAAGCCCTACCCCATTAGAGGAGATGATGGGAGCAGACATTCGGGTTTTCCTCAACTGATTAATTTGAGATATCCCCTGTTGATTGATCGCAAAAAAATTCGGTCTGTCATGTAAGCGGTGTTTAATGGTGTTCGGAAATGCACTTATTTTTATTTTATTTTATAAGTTTCGCCGAAGAACCAAAATAAAATACATACAACGTAATTAAACTGAAGAAGGGGGTCCTCAGGGACACCGAAACAGCTGAGGCCAATTTCAGCCGGCCCGGCCCCAATATCTACATACAAGCGAGTAAATGGCTTGCAGAAATCCGACGAATCACAGCGTTTGTCTTTGTTACCAGGATAACACCCTTTTAATTACACGAACGTTCTAGAAGCTTATTGACAAGTTTCCTTCAACATATTTTCATCCAACTCTTGTCAAATCAATCTTGGTAAAGGTAGTTAATATCACAGGGCGTTTTCCATTTAACAAAAATTCCGGTTTGAAATGTTAGAAATTCCACCTGCTCAGTGCGGCTGTTTTCGAAGGCTGCGCGTTTGGTTATTGTTCTTGTAAGCAGGGTACAAAAGAGCAGTACTGGGGACAACAATTTTGTCAAATGGAAAGGGACATTTCGGTCTGACCGACCGAAATGACCAGACCGGCCAAAGTGGACCACCTTCAAAGCTGGTCCCGAATATTCCGGTCAAACGAAACCGAAATGGTCTGTTCCATTTGTTGTACCAATCGAAAATTCGAGAGTTTTTGGTTGAATGGAAAGCGCCCATTGACTCTACTTTCGGTGACTGGGACACTGTACTGGTTTCTAAAGTGGTTGATGCTGTCATGTCATTTGGGAGCTTAAGCAACTATCACGACGACGGCAACGAGAACATAAAAAAAGAAGTAACTTTTAAGTTAATAAGCAAAGCAACAACTCTGCACGAGCATCACGCTTTTTGGTATATTTCTGAAACTTCCAAAGCAAGACCACGAAGTGAAACTAAGTCCTAATGTGACGTTTCGTGGATGACGTGGACACACGACGACGAATTTTCTTTCCTATTATTGGATGCTACCTTGCGAGCAGAGGCCTTCTCTCTTGCATTCGCATAACGCTAAAAGCCATGTAAGAGAGAAACTTCTGCTCACAGAGTACTGAATGCGGGCCTGAAACCAGGACATTCGGCTACAATTGGCTTAAGTTAACCCAATAAAGATTGAAAGAACGCAAATGAATTTTTTCCGAAACATTGTGCTTACAAAAGCTCCCTATTGTTTAGTTACCAACGTCATTTGTTTTTATCTCAGTTAAGGCAAATATCGTGCATCATCACTGAGCACAACTCTTAACTGATAAAACTTTTGATCACCGTATGCGATATTGAGCGTGATCACTAGAACACGAGAAAGACATCTCCTCAGTTTTGTTCGGAGGAAGAGGAGTAGTCTTGGGTTGGGTCGGAGGTGTGTATGACCATAAGAATGTGCGGACCAAACCAATTGTAAACCAAATACACAAACTAATTATTATTTTATCGAGTTTATATTGAAAGAAAAATCCTTCCCTAGCCCATGGCATTTGTTTATTTTCATTATTCCCCCATACTAAAGTTACATAACAATTTATCACGCGACATGTTATGAATGATTGGAAGTCACGTTATTTTCTCTCTATTTTCCGTGATGTATGCGACATCATTTTGTTACGGGAATGCAAACAGGCTCGTTATCCAGTGCCTATTAAACAATGAAATGAACCGCGACAAAAATATTGCATCTTACAAAATTGCTGTGCATTGCTTAGCGCGTTAGAGATAAGCAATAAGCGAACCCCTTGGCGAGAAAATGGTCTCCGGTAAACGAATTTTTCTCCTTGAAAAAAAGCATTTCCTGTTACCATTTTCGATGAAAACAGTCTTTTTTTGAGCAGAATTCTAATAAGAGAGGCAGTTCCGAAGGTCAACCTATTCAACTAAAACAATTAAGAAACAAAAATGGAACTCCTGCAGCGTAACTAAGAGCCCAAGTTAAAAGGCTCCATAAAAACGGATATGAAGTTATTTTGTTGACCTTAAAACAAACCGCCGTTCATTGCATTGGTCAAAAGATCTAAAAATGTTCAATCGATGCCAGCTAGCACGTTTTGATTTCTCATATGTTGTTAAGAAACAAAGACTATTGATTCTCTTAAGTGTTATTTAAGTTTGGTTATATCAGGCGCTGTCACGATACCGGGTTTTGCAGGTTTTTACGTTTGGAAAGTGGTTTTAGAAAGAGATATAAAGTCCTATTTCTATCGTATTTCCGAACTTTCGAGAAAGGCGTTGGAAATTGAAAGATCAGTGTGTTTACCTTAACAACATATTATTGTTTTTCGTGCCTACTAGTCCATAAAATTAAATTTTGAATTGGAATGACGAAATAAGCGCCGACACTCAACGCCCCCCAAACAATAGAGGCCTTGCTCTGTGCGCATGCTTAGAAAGAACAGACGAATACGCTATCCCTGAAAGAAAAATAAGTCTGACGTCGACATTGCGACATGAGCTTTCTAAATAATTTGCGGAGTCTGAATAGCTGTTGAAAGTGGTGTTAGCGAAATAAAATAGTAAATTTTAAAAAAATATTAAGAGATCAACAACTACATACTCCTAAGTGCATTTTAATAAGCACTTTTGTAGGATGACATACTATAATTACGCACTTTAATTTGTTCTGCGTCGGTATTTTTCCGGTATCAACCCTCGTAAACAGACGTCGCGGACAGTGCATTGGATGTCGTTAAACATCATACATTGCTTGTTGCTGCCTTTCAGAATGACCATTCATGAGTCTAAGGTTTGCCCTAATAACCTCAGTAAAAGACTGAACCACAAGTCCGCTTCACTGTCGGTAACGTCAAACTTCATTGAGTCTCACCTAAACATCTTCAAGTCGAAGTTGACAAGAACCCACACCCTTACACTTTTACCAATTGTAGATACTTAGTAGGTTGTTCATTTTGACGCAAATTCAATATCACTGCATTTCCTTGCTGTAGCTCCCACTCCAAGATTTTAATGCTCCTTAGAGCGCATTTGTTCTGTTTCCCGTTGATAGAGAACTTCACTTCGGTGCACGCCGAAAAGGAATTGAAAAGTTAAATAAGGAAACTGGTGGTTGAATTTGAATACGTCGCGACGCCTCGCGAATCGGCAATGTAACGTAATCACAGCAAAAAAGATGTCGACTGAAAGACATCGTGAAACACATTTTGCCGAATATGTGAATAAAAGATCCAATTCGAACATGGAAAAGCTGAAAAAGAGCCCTCAAAATACCTGCGATTTAGGGCTGACGCAAACTAGTATCAATGTTCTGTAAAATAAATCAAATACGTAACATTTGTAGTCTCTTTGTTTTGAACAAAGTTAGTTCTTCATTTCTGTCCGCTGTTTTTGAATCCGAAGATTTCATTTCACACTTTCTTACATGGTAAAGGGACTAAAAGACACACACTCAATAGCCAATTTCCGCCGATTAAGCTGAACATCTAGCTGCGCAGTAACTAAGCAGTTTCTCCAAGCTTTTTGGAGAAACCACTTATGTACTCGAGAAACGAGGATTCTGGGTAGATATCACATTATTTTGCTATCTAATTTTGGCTATACTGCCACTGATAGTTTATAGTCTTGATCTTCTCTCTCTTTATTAATATTCTTTGCACGCATCCGAAATGTATTACTGCTAACAAAAATGTAACAGAGGTAAAGTTCTTCGTTTTGCAAAATGTTTTCTAATTTTGGAAACACAGGAACAGCTAGTAATGCCAAACGACTCTTTCGTAGCATTGCTTTAGTAGTTACAGGCAGATCAAGAAGGCTCCTTCGAAAAATCTCTTAATTTTTGTCTTTCTTTTATGATACACGAATATACGTTAAAGTTTGTAACGAAGAGGAGTCTCGTTTAGTGGCGCCAGAAATGATTAAATTTGTTTCAAACGAGAAAAATCAGTGTTAAACAAGTTTGAACCGGCTTTGTCGGTCGTTTTTGGAGAGCCCTGGTAGATAACCTGAACACAAACGTTCCGAGGCCAAATCGAAGTCTTGACCGACCGCTTTTGACAAATTAAACGATGATCTTTAATAGAACGTAATTAAAGCGTCGATCGCATTGACACTGATTCCGATGACGTTTGACAACGTTAATCGTGCGATAGGGGAGAGAAATCTGCTAAAAAGTGTGCTGCGCGCTCAGAGTTATTATTTTGCTTATTACTCGAGCTCCGCGCTAGAAGCGTTACTACACAAAATGCGACGTTCAAAAACCGACTATTTGATGGGAAACGCGTTACGAAAGCGACGTCGCCAGGCTTATCCATAGAGGGGCTCGTTTAATGCAAAACTCGCGCTGTTAGTCTTGAGAAACGATGAAGTGTCAGTGCTCATGCCGTGAGCGATCATCGGAGTTCTTTCACGGTAAATCAGCTTAGGAATAACAAATTCTGTTACGTGGGAAAGGGTGTTTTCTACGGCATTCTAAGCACACTTTCTTAGTGTTTCGTGATGTCAGAACGCCTCACTTTGCATTCGGGAGCCTGCCTTTTTTTCTTGATGTTTTCACGGTTACAATCCTTCCTTAAGCAGCAGTGAAATATTTTAAACGCCAACTACTTGTTTTTGTTATGATCTACAACAAGCGTTTTTCTATATTGCCACGGATACAAGTTAACTGAGTCTTTCTCTTCTCTCTCTCCTTCAGTTTTTACATATCATCCCTTCGACCTAAATCGCGAAGGGCAAAACGTTAAT